CTGTAACAAATTTGTCGATGTTGATCTATTTTTCACAAATCCATGTTTCTAAATAATGTTCGGTTTCGTTTGTGTTGTTTCTTGTTCGTTCAATAGTGATGAAACTATCTAACTAGAAATTATCAAACATTTACAATCATTAGCATTATAAACGTACGTGAGTATTTAATCAATGAGGTCTATGTTATTACTTTTCATGTTAGGATTTCGTTTTTGTGGTGAAGGCAACAGGAGTATCGCAGGTGAGATGGGACATTTGAATCAATTGAAGTGAACCAAAAAAAAATTGTTCAATAAAAGTGAACCAAAAAAAAATTCATTTTAGTGTATTTTACACTGAAAAAACCGAGTGAAATTTTTTTTTTGGTTCACTTTTATTGAACAAAATTTTCTTGATTCACTTCAATTGGACAAAAAAAAATTGATTCACTTTTTATTGAAATTTTTTTTAGGTTTCGTTTTAAAATAGCAATTTTTCGAGAAGTAGTTTTTATTCTACCCCATTCAAATGTGGTTTGTTGCATAGATCCACGCCAAATAAATAAAACTCATAAAGCAAATGATATAAAAGAATAAAAAGAAAATCGAGCACTTGTCGAGATTTTCTTCCATTCCATATTTATTGACTCGATTTTAAGTTTATTTATTTAATTGAAATCGTCCTAATACTCTTCTCCATTCCATTAAATTGGTACTGATCTATTTTAGTTGTATTTCTAAGTGACAATTCTGAAACATACATATTTGATTCGATGTACTTGATAATCGGAAACAATGTCGAAATGGACATAAATATGCATCAGTCTGAAATGGCTTGGCCTTCTTATAAAATTGAACATCTTCGGGGTTACATGAGCTTATGTTTTTTTTAATATATAAATTCATTTCTAAAGCATACAACTAATTCAAATGGAACTTATCAAAGTAATAAGCACAGGCACCTGTAATGTAATTTAAATTGAGTCTACAAATAAATCGATTTATGATTCAATGCTAAAAAAACTAATCGTACATCTTTATAGAAGAAAGAAACTATAATAGATTAGCTAATAGATTTTAATTTTTTAAAAAGAAATTTACATATATCACAAATATTTTATTTTCCCTTTTAATTTATGGCGCAAGGAAAATGTCTAACGCTGGACGCATGTATTACATGACTGATTTATTAAAATATCTTAGTCGTCATCGCTAATGTTCATCGATTTCGATTTAGCAGCATTTTACTTTCGCTATTTTTCTCCAGGTTGCCACTAAGCGTTGGGTCCGGTCTTCGTCTTTTGAAGAAACCTAATCGCCACAAGCAATACGAAAATAGAGCCAACAGTAATAAACCGCCAACTATTGATACAATTATTATCCAGATTGGAATGGAACCATCGCCTGGTTGCTCATGTAAATCGGGATATGCGTGTGTAGATACCTGCGAGAAAAAAATTATTATTATTATTAACACAGTTGGTCGAAAAAATGCGAGAAAAAAAATCCATACCGTTGCTTGGTCGTCCTTCTTTTTTTGTTTAATGTTATAGATATCCGGTATCGAGATATGAGCTGACGAAACGATTTTCACCAAATCAACACGTGGATAATCGCTAACAAGCGTTGAATTCCATAATCTAGCCTTTATATAGATGTATGCCTCTCCATTTCGTTGTATGTTATAAAGTGCACAATTTATCGTAATACATTTTGCTGTCTTTTTATCACAATCCTGAAATTAAATCAAAAACAAATCAAATCGATGTTCATTTGAATTGAAATAATTTTTATCATTTTTACCATTGTAACAATATCCGCTTTCTTTCCATCTTTATCGACTAATCGTTCGGCCCGGATGATAAGCGCATGATCTCGTCTAACTCGATTCAATGTACTGCCACTCGGTTTTTTAGCGTCTTGTATTCGTTTTTCTGAACTTTCAGCAAACATTGAATGCGATTTATTCTTGGGAAGATAGCTTCTGTAATCCATTAATTCGGCTGGTTCGCCGGCAAGATCCATCGGATTTGGACGTTTATCGAGATGCAATGGATTTATTTCGTTAGTGGAACATTCACCTTGAGCACCTTCGATTATAATTTTATCAGCGAGATACAACAACCATTTGCCTTTCTCTTTGTCATTTGCGACTTGATGAGGCCATTGAATTCGTACATTGACTGCAATAAATACACAGAATTTTAGTACACCCTCAAAGGTAAATAAGAATGAATATACAAACCCAAAGGTACACGCCATGGACCTTCGTTATAAATGAGATATGTGTGTTGCACTGCTGTTCCGGTGTCTTCAATGTATTTCATTGCACTCTCGCCAACAATTCCACCACCATAGAAGGATTGCTCTGGCAACTGCCGGAGTCCCTGAATGCTGAGTTCGGCTTTCTTGATGACATTCACAAGCAAAACTGATTTTTCACGTGGAATCAGTTGTTTTGATGTGGAATTTGCAAAAACTTTGAACGATAGACGAGGTTCTGAATCATCCAAGGCACTTGGATTGAAACGAAGCACAACATTTCTCGATGCATTCCGTTTGAATGGATTTCCCAGTGTACACGCAACGATTGTTTCATTAAATTGATTACAAATACCTTGACCTTTGTCATTAATATATGTAACGCTTTTTTGATGTTCAACAAATAATTGCGCTTCATAAGCGGACTCTTGTTCATTCGTTACACTCACATTCAAACGCAACTCGTCTGATTGTCCTAATACTAAGTTGTACTCGTCATCTGTAATGTAATTTTTTTGACAAAATTAGTTTTCAATTCAAAACATTTAAAAAAAAAAATTATGTTTTCTTACCTTCTTTGTCCAATTCTAATTCGGCATAAACTTCCAATTGCGATTGACACAAATCGTCTGCACCGCAGTCCTTTTGGAAACTGGCTTCAAATGATCGATCTGCTTGAGTTTGGTCCAAAATGGGATTGAGTGCTGTTAATGTGCTCTGCGATGACTCAGCGATTGTGTAATTCAATCGAAACTGTTGAATTATTAAACAAACAAAAAAAAAATCAGAAAAAGTTTTTCAATTAAAAAATACGATTGAATTTGTTGAATTTTCTTACATGAATCGGACTTTGAATGTCACGTGTATTTTCCTTTATATAAACTGTTTCAAACTGACAATGTTTTTGATCGTTGACTTGCACGTTAATGGTTCGTTTGACAACGTTGCTTCGGCTCTTCATGTCCGCTCCAAAAAATACACGTGAAAATTTCCGTTTGTTATTGAATGTTTCAGCTTCGATTGTATAGATCAATTTAAGAATTTTTCCATTCGATGATAAATACGGTGAAATTGAGCAGCATGCTTCAAATGTAAAGCAAGTTAAATTACTATGCATATCTCTGCCACAGCCTTGTTTATTCGGATCAATATTTTTGAGTTCAATGCCTTCAACGTGTGTTCGTATATTGGTAATTGGTCGTGAAAGTAAGGCAATCGCAGCTGATGAGCGATAAGCACCAATCAATAAATCTGGATACGAGTTATCATCAAAATCAACTCTTCCCGATAATGAGCTACCGAATGTTTTGATTGTCTCAAGATTGAGCACCGATGGTGTAATGACCTGTGACGGTTTTGTCGTTAGACCATTCTTTGATCCTAAAAATATGTAAACAACACCATTATCTTCATAAGGGGCACCGATTGCGATGTCATCACATCCGTCCTTGTTTATGTCACCGATATTGGTCATTGCCATTCCAAATTGTGACTCCAATTTTCCAGTTAATTTTGTCGTATAATTTGATGGCAAATGATGATTTTCATTTTGATACACATAAACTGCTCCGCCTTCAATTTTACCAAAGTAAAATGGTGCGGCCACAATTAGATCGTCCAATTGATCTCCATTTATGTCAGCCGTTATAAGTTCGTAGCCGAAACTTGAACCGAATTGTTCACCATCGAAAATTTGCGACACATTCATTATGACATTAATATTGTTTGACATTGGATATGATTTGGAAAAAATTACAACTTGTCCGTTGTCATTCGATCGAGGAGCACCAGCAGCATATGATGTATAGTCTCCGTAATATTGACCACCAGTTACAGCCATGCCTGATAAAAGATCCGATTTAAAAAAAAATAATTTCAAAAACGCAATAGAAAATAATGGGAGATGTTTACCTAAATAACTGTATTTATCAACCGGTGACGTATGCTCGAGATGAGGTCCGTAATAATGATTTTTGTCTCGTTTCAAGTAATCGCCATCGCCTGAAATCACAAAGATCGTGCCACGCCAAGTGAACGGACCTGGCGTCCCCAAAATCAATGTACCATCCTCCATTAGAGCTCCTGATGTTCCAACTTGACAATATCCATACTCCTCGTGTTCGCGTTGGGTACTTCGTCCTTTGCATGGTTCGTACGTTTCGTCAAAATTGAGATCATTCGTAAGTACATAACATAATCCTTGACCGTGTTGTGATTCGCCCGTCTTCACGATGTATCTATGTGCGCAAACTAAAACCTGCAAACATATTGATTTTTTAGCAGTTTTTTCTTTTAAAATCGATTTTTTTCTAAATCTTACTTTTCCGGCTAGTCCTTGTGAACGGACTGTAACACCCATCCATTGTCCATTTTTAATTTCCTGTTTTTCCAATGGTGGCTTCAAATCAACATCATCGCTTACTGTTTTTTCGAAATTAAAACAATTCGGAAAGAAAACAACATTTTTTTTAATACCAAATCGATAAAATCGAATCGTTTAGTCAAGCTTGTGAAATGAGTCTGTAAGATGTGTGGTGCAAATGGTGAAAAATGAATTGGATAACATTACAACGTCCTTCACGTGAAATATACAATCTAATTCACGTTTCCAGTCGTTATATTGTGAGCATTTTAAGAATGCTGTTGATCGAGCATCGAATTCATTGAGCATATTCCAAGTGCAACCATATTTCAGCACAATTATATGTTTTTTTCAATGACTTCAATGTCTCGCATTCACCAATTCCAATTCATTTTCACTTCGTTAGTTTGATTTGATTCGAGATTGGTCGAAAATTATGAATATAAAAAAAAACAAGCATGCTCACACACACATAAATGTATATATACACAGAAAAGAATTGCATTCAAACATAAATTCTTCAATCTGAAATAATAAAAGAAACATCAACAGAAACCCTATAGACACACATTAAAAATTTCATGCGGAGACATAGAGCAAGTGACTGGTTTTTACCGTATTCTAAATGTACGAATTTACATATATATTTTGCAAGTTATTTCGGTGCTCACAAGAATTCGATGTGTGCAAACTAAGAACGCACCAACATGCATGCGCTTGACGAATGAATACGTTAAAATGTTTTGATATGCAATCATTATTTGGTATTCATAATCTTTGGTGCATCTGCTGCGTTGAATAAGAATGCGGTCGCAACTGCTTGCCAAATTTCATTTCAACTCGGCCGTATTTAATAAACACACAGCATGCAATTTATGACAAAACACGTATAAACTTATCCGACCGTCAGAGGTGTCATTTTTTTTTGTAGTTTTTTCTGTACTAATATTCTGCCACCGTTACATGAAAATGTTTACAACTTTTGCTATGGGTGTAGTAATGACTAATTTGTTGCCGTAACCAGAAATGAGCGAAAAAAAAGTGCTAGTAATTTAAAGTGGCCCATCAAATGTTAAACAACAATTTTAAATTTGAGCTAGTCACAAGTACGAACCCACCGATTAACCTAATTATTTTTATTTTATTCGTGCGATTAATTTATGTAGATTTCACCGTCAAGTTTACAAAAGAGATTCATTCTGATTTCGTGTTTCGGTGATTACTCAACGAAATGAGCAATAGCTGTAAATAAAGTGATAATTAAGACTTATCACTTAAAGTATGACTGTGCATAGCTCGTTTGTGCCGGCAGAATGTGATTTATTTTGACGGGGATTTCATCAGTTGTGTCAAAAACATGTTCCCATACTATCTGTTTTGCACCTTTTTTTGTATTTATTATCAACAAACATAGAAACATTGAAGAAATCTAATCTAAAGAAAAAAAAATCATGCATTTTACATCGTGTTCATGCTGTACACAACTAATTCCAATTGTATTATTGTAACATTTAGTTAAAGAGCAAAATGATTGCGCAATGGATTAGTTCGAAATGACTAGAAGTTAGGAAAAATACATGCAAAAAAAAAAACAGTCAGTGAGTTTAGTCATTAGAGTGTTATTAAAATAGAAAAAAATAAATAGGTTTTACTGTCTTAGCAGCCCAAACCACTTACTGGATTCATAACGTCCGCCAGATACTATATATTTTTTGTCGGATTCAGTTTTCACGTATGAAGAATTTTGTTTTTATTTTTTCATTTAAGAGATTTTTTTTTTGCGATTTATGTGTTTTACAAAAGTAGATATTACCGTCCCAAAAAAGAGAGAATAGATAGAAAATTATTAAGTTGATCTAAAGTTTGATTTTTCGGTATGTGAAATGAAAAAAAAAAAAAAAAGATTTCGCAAAAGATAAAAGCGTTTGAATTCTGAAATGAATATATGAAATATCTAGGAACAAAATGTTTTTGTTTTTCTAAATGAATGTTCATTTTTCGAATGGTCCCACTGTGTGTGTGTGTAGCGTAAGTTGATATTTTTCAAGTTAGATTTTTAATAACTCAACACTATAAATGGTAGCATAAAATGCATCTACTGAACTAAGGACTTCATTGTTCAATTGAAAATATATTTACAATAGTTCATAGTTTAGTCATGTTGGTATTCAATATCAAAAAAATATGTACAAATCTAAATATATATATATTGCAATTTAAAAGAGGCTGATTGAAATAGGACGCAAATCAATTACTGCAAAGAGAGAGAGAGGGAGATTCAATTGCTTACGCCAAATTCAAAATAAAATGTACGAAGAGATTTATAGGTAATACGCTAGTCTATACAATGTTAAGCAATGGTCAAATTAACCCGTAACCCGTTCGAAATTACGTCATTTATCTAATCTCGACTGGTGAGATTGGAACAAATCAAATGTGAATTACGCTTTTTTTTGTTTCGTTTATACTTTTCTACTGGAAAAAAACTGATTTTGTTCATCAACATAATGTGGTCATATCATATGAATGCTGGTTGAATCGATTGACTAGCATCAATGTGTGACTTACATCGTCGACCGTCCGTTACGACCTGTTCACAATCGCTCGTATGTTGTGTGATTGGACATTTAAATAGTGCACCAGATCGATTTGTTCCCGGCTGTAAATTTTGACCCAACGGAGCACCGACTAGAATCCTAGAAAGAAAGATAGAAGAAATGTTATCGATTGAAGTTGATTTTTTTTTTGGTTTGAAAAATTAAAACGGAAATATATTCATGGCATAATTTTGAGAGTGAAACTTCCTAGACCTATCCACGCAGATATGTTTGCGTGTACCGGCATTTGCCATCAACATTCATCCACACATTGTTATAAATGATTCTCGGTAATTTGAGTTGTGAATGATATGAAATATGAAAATGTCGTGTTCTCGTGTTGTTAGTGTGCTTGATGCGTTCGGTTTCGAGCACATCCTACGTCATTGAATTAGACATAACCATAAATCAGAGATTGTTATCGTTTGTTGAAAAATAAGGCTAAGCTATGGCTTGTCTTCGAACCCAACAAACATACATAGTGTGCGATCGGATTCATGCGACAGGTCTTAACAAAATTAAGGTTGGGTTAGTTATTGTGGAAAAATTATACAATACGTTTTTTCATCGTTCCGTATGGTTCATTAGTTCGAAGGTGTTTTGATTGAAAGAAAAACGTAAACCATCCTGGGACAAAGCATGCATTCTTTTAATGATATATTCGAACCAAAACGTTCACGCCGATTTTTTTTTGTTGTTGCTTCGTTATTTCTTGCTCGTTTACATCAAAAGGCATAAAATGAGACGAATTACGTCTATTGATGAGAACCATAGTCGCTTATATGGAAACGTTTGTGTACACTTAAATGGTTCAATTGTAGACTTGCGATGAGTGGTGCAGAGTTGAATGAATTTAAATATAAGAACCAGTAACTCATGTATATTGTCGCCATCATCACGTTTACATCTTCAGAATTAATTGAAATAAGTAAAAGGAGCACATGTTTTCCGTGGCATTATATTCGAGGAAAATTGTATGCTTCAACGAACTTGAGTACATGAAGAAAGAACGCTTAGTGTGGTGTGAATGAGAAAAATCTACAGATTATGACTTGACAGAAAAAAAAACTCTTTCAAAACATAAACTACTTTGTCTCTCATCCATAGATGTGAATTCAGACGAAGAAGAAATGTCTTGCGGCTGGGCATATGTAGGCATATCGATCAGATGGTATCGAATATCCTTTTTATACCTTTGTAAATTTATTTGAGATTTTCGTTTTTTCAAGCCACATTTAAGCCATGCACAATATTGAATATAGAAATCGTTGAATGAGTTTGCACATTTTACATTGTTTTTATGTTTAGAAATCGCCCACACAATGGAAAAAGGCTCAATTTTGTTTAACATCAAGTCCGTTCATTAAAATAAAAGTCATTCATTGCGGTTATCGTTATGCGTGTTTATTTCTATCTATGCTTAACCATGTAATCTGTCTCTCTACCGTCTTAATATTCAAAACGTTATGCATGTTTTTCTGAAGAAAAAAAAAGAATCTATTATTATTCCTCTTGATTTTGCTATTCATTTACAGCTGAACAAAAACATTACACCAAACCGCCGGTTTTTATGTTTTGTCGATTAAATATTGAATCAAGCGCAAAACCAAACGATCAACAGCTAATGGATTTTTCATAAAGAGAAAACAGCTATTCATTACATTTGTGATAGTTAAAACTTTTGTTTTTAACCAAAAAAAAAAAAACCATTTCCGGTGTTTGTTGCAATTGATGAGCGTGTGATAGCTGTTGCATTTCACCAGCCACACTCTTACCGCCTGTGTAAGTCTCTGTGTATGTGTGCTTTATTCTCTCGCACACGCTTTTTCTTTTGATGGCATATCGGTCTTCCGCACATATTTATACGCGGATCATTTCAACCATTAAACGGTACATCCACTGACGGCGATATTAAAATACAATAAATTGATGGTATTGTGCTGGTTAAAAACATTTAAATGGGCGGCTGTACGCTTCATTCAATTGAAACGTATCGAAAACATTACGCACACACACTTAAATTGCATCGATCCACTTAACCGTCAATTCAAGCATTTCAAGTGTATACAAATAAATTTATTTTTCCGCGGCGCATATTAATTAAAGCACCGGCGATGAGTAATCGATTCCGAGTCTGAATGCGTCTGTCTCGTGCTCATCTGACAATGAAAGATGATCATTTTAAACGGTTAACGCTTTGAACATTCATTTTTTTTCTGTGTGGGTTACCCAACATTGAAATAAACGTTTTTTTTTTTTTGGATTTTCTTTCATTATTTTTTGTTTCTACATCTGAAAGATAAACCACTCAGCTTCGTTTTTACTTGTGCGCCCATAAGACTGTATATTGCATACACAGAGTGCACATCACTCGAATATGTATTTAAGAAAAAATTGAAATTATCGATTCGATATTTAAAAACAAATAAATCAATTAGCTCAATTCGAGTAAATCTGTACATCACGTCAGTGAACGTCGGCATTGTTGCTGATCGAACGAATGAATCTGTAATTTGAATAAATATGCACTTAACTTTAATGTGACCTTTACAGATGAACGGAACGAGCATGTACATCACTGTGACTGGCATTTATTCGTCTTAACTTTCTCATTTTTATCAACACCGATATGAATATAGTTTTTTATAGGCAGGCAGTCTTATACGCCAAATATGCACATATATGCATTCAACTGATGTCCGTATGGATTAATTTTGTTCACTTGAGTAAAGAATAGCTCTATCGATCAAAGTAAATCGGAATGAAAACCAGTTGTGAAAAGAATTTTTTTTGATTTAACTCTTTAAGTGATAAAACTTTTTTTATTGCCATTCATTGTCTATACTCCAGACTAAAGAATCCAAAAGTAGGCACATTTTTGTGTATACTAACCAAGAGGTTTCTGACATCTTTTGAAATATTCTAATTTTTCAAAATTTCAATGATTTTTCGAATACCACGAGGGTTATATAAATACCACGAATGTAACCATTTTCTATTAGCAAATCCACAGAACGTAGTCTGCTGTCTACACTTTTTGATGCCTGGATTCACTTTGACGTAACTCAAGACCGTCTTCACAATGGTGCATTAAAAATGTGAATTGTTCCCAGTGTAGGGTTAACCGATTTGTTTATATCTTAAACTTGTAATTGTATAAATGTAAAGCCGAAAGAGATTATAAAGAGGTATAAGCAATAAAATGTGGTCAATGTACAGGTGTCGCGTAATAATTATAATCAACGTTAAGATTGCATTGTTTTCATATTACATAATATTTCAAAGAGACCTTGGTGTTGGATACTCTCACAGCATATTTCTCATGCTTCTCTGTCTCTTTTTCTCGCTGTCTCTGAAGAGAATCTCTCTGTCTCTCTATCATCTACAGATCTATCTCTCTAGCATTTGAATATAGTTAGTTCTTTTGATACAATTCCGATGGAATGAAACGTTAACGCCTTGAAGCTGCATGCTGATGTGTAATTCAATTGATTTTGATTGTATGCTTTGTGCAATTAACATAAATAAAATGAAAATAATTCGATACGATGCAGCATAAGATCGTGCATTTTACAAGCAAAAAGCATTACCACTTGAAGTGTTCTTTATGACTTTTGTAATTTAGATCGAACATAAAAGTATAAAGAAATATTTAAATGTCAAGAGCAATCGGATAAATAAATAACATTTTACGCTTCACCATTGAATCGGAATCTTAAGTGATCTAGATTCTAGAAAATGAAGGGGAGCAAAACGAACAAAATTTAATGATTCAGTTGCATCGTTTGATTAATCCATTGATTAGATAATAACCCAAAACACACAAATTTTATCAGTGAATTTGAATCAACAGCATAGACAGTAAACTGACATTTCATTCGAAAGTATTGCATTCATTCATTTCAATTCTATTCTATTACGCTGTGCGTAGGTAGAACGGGTTCTTTTCTCACATTTCATTCTAAAGTGAATCGCATTTCATTCAGATTCTTAAACAAATTTAACCCGTTCAACGTTTATATGTTTCAATTTTCACATCGAAACGGATAAGACAAAACGGACTCAAACAGAGGAAGGCATATCATTGTCAATGCATTGGATAGTGAAGTCATTTTTTTAAAGTTATTTTTTCCCATAAATTTATGACAGCATTCATTTGGTATTTGATTAAAGGTAATCTAGCACTTTTATCGGCCCCTTTTTTACTAACCATTCCATAAACATATTTTCAAAAAAAAAATTCAAACATTATCGCGCTGTTCAAACGGATAGAGAACCATGGGATGATAAAGAAAGTTTTGAAAGCGCGCAAAGATAAACCAGTATGTTATTGATTATTCTGATAAGATAAGATTTCGTGTAACCATTTTTCGTTCATCGAATCAAACATAGATTCAAACTGTCGAATAAAACTCATTTTCGATCGAATGTAATCATTCGAGTGTTTTGCTTGTTTTTGTTTTCAAAAGGTGTTCGTATCTTGCAAGCGCACAGGAAAAAACATCGATATCTTAATTTTTATAGGCTGTCACACCACGTCGAAAATATAATCATAAAATTGACGTTACCATCATATGTAGGTGGGAAATCGATTCGTTCGATGTTTTATGCAATATAATATATGTTTTGCAGAATTAGTCCTATCTTTAAATTCATTCCACAAAAACCACAAAACATATATCGCTTTTATTTTGTGGCAATTTAATCGAATGAAAACCGATTCTTCTTATCGAAATTCTGCAGATGTATTGCTATAGAGCAACCCACAAAAAAATAGCGATTTTATTGGATATATTTCTTTCTAAATTACTAGTATTCTCTCACTTTGGACGACGGGTTTTATAATGCATATGCACTTTGGCTTGACGTTTGAACTTTTTTATCTGTTTTTTGTTTTTTTTTTTTTAAATATTCATTTCATATTAAATTGCACCTATCAAATGCATATGTTCACATTTTTTGCACAATCGTGATAAATCAACTCATAAAAATGACTCATTGGTTAGTCATTTGAACGTTGATGTATCATTTTGCCAACGTATAATATGTTGATTATGATGCTTAGATTTTTTTTTAATGTCTGAAGTCATAAAATCATT